TTCTCTGGTTCTCTGACTGGATCTCTGGTCCTCCGACTGGTTCTCTGGTTCTCTGACTGGTTCTCTGGTCCTCTGACTGGTTCTCTGGTTCTCTTCCGTGCCTCCCGCTGATCATTTTTGTGCAGGTGAGCTGCTCGTGGATTTACAGTCGGGTTCTGATGAAGGTTCCATAGAGCAGAAGGACTTGTCTGAGGGTGGACCTAGAACCAGAGCAGAGCTACAAGCTGCTGAATTCAAACACGAGGTTCCAGGATGCTCGTCGTCCTGATGAGACTCTTCATGTTTCAGTCTTTAGTCTTTTTGACTGTGAACCTGCTGAACGGTGAGAAAGTCTCTCTTTGAGCAGCTGGTTCTGGTTCTGCTTTACCTGCAGCATCTAATAGACACGAGTCCGACTCAAACAGCACAGAAACCTGAAACCAGCAGCAGGAAGCTGCATGAAGCAGGAAGTCAGATGAGCTGCTGGTCTTCAGACAGGTTTGTTCTGACCTCTCTTCCTGGCAGCTGTCACTCATTCCATCATCTGCTGTCTGACTTCTGCTACAGGATTCAGTTTCAGGTCAATTCAGTTTTATTTCTGTAGCGCCGTTCACAGCATATGTCGTGTCACGGCGGTGGAGAATGAGCAGAGAGAAGCTGTGAGCTGATGATGAGCAGCGACAGAAAATCTGAATTTATAAACTTCAATCTGAGGACGTCCACTCAGGGTTTAAGCTCCTTGTTCTCTTAATCTGGATTGTCAAAAGGAGCTTCTGCTGTCATTTTGTGACCACATTAAAAGCAGGACAGAGATTAAGGCTGATGGAGAATTTGGTGGATGTGATTTAAGTCTTCAGGAGAAAACGCTGCCTCTGTTCTTCAGTTGGCTGTCTGGACGTCCACGTGTTCAGCTGCAGGAGCTCCTCTGTTCGGCGCTGTTCTGGGATCATCGATGGGACGTGACGGGTCTCAGCGGGGCTCCTGGTCCGTCCCGGCGTCCGTCCAGCCTCCGTTCGTCTCCACACTGCCTCCGCCTGCAGACGTCGCCGTCGCCGTCTTCCTCATCTTCACAGGTAACGTCCTCTCTGATCCTCGGCATGAAAGATGATCAGTCTGTGGATGAAGAAAGACGGTTCAGAGAGGTCCTCCTCAGATATCTGCTGGTTCTCTGGTTCTCAGAGCAGAGCAGACGTCTGGAGGAACGTCACATCCACTGATGACATTTATCATCCGTCATGTATAAATCATGAAAACGTGATTGTATCGTCTCAGCTGTTGGCTGTAGAGCTTAAAACACTGATTAGTGACATTCAGACAGTTATCTTTGGTTTTACAAGTGTTCTGACATTTAATGTTTAAAACCACAGATGAGGCATTAACATGATTATTATAATTATTGAACGCTGGACAAACCAGCTGCTTGATTCTGTTTCATCCTGTTGATGATTCGATTCAGGTTTTTTCTGAGAGGATTCTGGAGATCTGTATGAATCAGTCCATCAACTATAAAATGAAAGTTACCCGTTTTCTCCGTGTTTAGGTTCAGAAGGTGTAAATGTGGCTGTGAGTGAAGCACCAACACACCTTCTGTAAAAACCTTCAGGACACCGTTTAGTGGATGAAGCGCTGCTGAGGAGGAGATTTATGGCTCAGAGGAAAAAATAGAATTAAAAAAAAGAATTCACAGTTAGCCTCATATGATTTCCTCTCTGCTGTGGTTCTGCTCAGGCGTGGTCTCAGTTCTGGGGAACGGGGCGGTTCTGCTGGTGTCCTGCAGGAAGAGGAAGAAGCTGAGGCCTCCGGAGCTGCTCACCGTCAACCTGGCTCTGTGCGACTTTGGCTTCAGCCTGCTGGGAGCTCCGTGCTTCATCATCTCCAGGTAACAGGGACTCAGTGTTCAGAACTGACATCCAGGAGGTTCTGACCCGTTCTAACCCTCTGATCCGGCAGCCTGTGCCACGCCTGGGTGTTTGGTGAGGCCGGCTGCCTCTGGTACGGCATCCAGGGCTTCGTGTTTGGCATCGGCTCTCTGTTCACCACCTGCCTGATCTCTGTGGACCGCTGCCTGAAGATCTGCTGCCTCCGATACGGTACTGAGCAGAACCTCCAACACAAACACAAACCTCCACCACTACACAGCTCTACAGAAGCTTTACACACTGATTCAAGTCCCTCCTTCTGTCGGATAAACACATGGACCCTCTGAACCCAACCATCAGACAGAACCATGTTTCTGTCTCATTTATCTCCACTGAGGTTCTTGTTCCTGCAGCTCTGT